ATATCATACCTTGAATTTATATTTATATATAATCACTTTCTTTCTTTAAAATGATAATATTATAAACTTAAAAAACACTATTTATTTTACTTTAATTTAGAACCACAAGATTCTATGTGTAAGACACGTGTTTCTTACTAGTATATATAAAAGCTTGCATCTGGATAAACTTTTTTTATCGTTTTTGCCCTTTATTTTTTACCCTTTTCAATATAAATTTGGAGATAAAATAGTCATTTTACATGAAACTATTAAATTTGTTATAATTATAAATAGATGTTTATTTTGAATAAATGACACAATAACACAATAAGTAAAAACAATCTCATCTCAAATTCCAACATTGGAATTAAATTTTTGAGTCAAATTTGAAACGGCGAACATGGTAAATGTTCCATAAATTTCGCCATTAAAAAACAAAATGGTCATGAATTTCGTTTGTGCAATGCAATAAAAATGGTCAGATTAATTACAAAAGTCTCACACTTAATCAATTATTCATAAATACCGCATAAATCCCTCCCTTATTTATTCCACTATTTAATCAAATTCAAGTAAACAAAACGTCAAATTAATTAAAAAAAAACTCTCATCCGTAATCAATTATTCATAAAAACTCCATAAATCTCTCTTATTTCTTCCTGTAATTTAATCAAATTCTAGTGATCTCATTCTATAAATCTTCATCACCAAACAAAAACTCATTCTCTCTCTCTACTCTCTCTCTGCTCCTCTTATTCTCTGCCACTGCCACTGCCGAGATTTGCCCAATTCAATGTTGTTCAACCCCTCGGAGACCAACTATCACCGTCTCACCAATGCCCTTCATTGCTCTATCTGCCGCCGATTATTTATTCTTTAGTGGTTTTAAAATGTTCCCGTCATAGATTTGATCGATTTACTCTAATTTATGGTGTAACGCTCTTATTAAACTAACTATGGACATAGTTGTTGGGTTTGGATACAAAATAAAACAAAGAAGGAATGAAAGACATTGGACCATGGCCCAATTACTTTATTTTATTTGACCTAGTTTTCTTATATATATGTATGTGGCAGTGGGAAAAAAGTAGCAGCCGTGAGAATAAGAAAGAAAAGGACAGTGGGTTTGTGCTGTAGTTTTTGGGTGTTTTTGTAGAAGTTTCAGAGGCGGCGGCTCGGGTGTTGGGCAACACAAAAAGGGTAGATTGAGATCAACATGTTTAGGGTAATTTGTTCTTTGATTATTATGTGATTTTTTCATTTCTGTTCCTGAGTATTAATTGTGTTAAAATACTTAGAAGTTAGGGGGCTTTGTTGGGACCTCTAGGGATATTTTTGGGACAGTTTTGTATTCCAATTATTAGTGAATTATGTAGACACCGTATTTGGTCCGGCTTATTTTTAATTTTAATTTTAATTTATATTATTGTATTTTACTTTATTGTCTTTTATTTTAATTAAAGAATAACATAGGTTTACTTATTATTAGTTTTAATATAAAGTTTAAATTAACTAAAATTAAATGTTAGATTTATTTAAATGTTTAATTTTATTGATAAGAAAATAAAAATGGTTGGTTTAGATTTTGTTTTATTATTAAAATAAAAAATAGATAAATAAAAATGATTTGTTTTAATGAAATAAATATTTTATTTTAACAAAACCTTTGATTTTTAACGGTTAACATATAATTTAAGGGGGAGGAGACACACAAGAAGGAACGTGTAGAGAGTTAGAAACTCATCACCTCATATCTTCTTCTCTCCATCACTCTTATCCCACCATCACCACTTTTCTCCTGCATACCCACGACCTCCGACGACGCAAGGAACGACGCGAACGACAGCAGCAACAACCTTCTTGTTCACAGCTTCTTCCAAGCCCGCTGACACTCCAACAATCTCCTCCTCGTTAGTGCGTTGGAAATCATGCTTTTAATTTGAAACAGATTCTTTTGTTTCTATCAAAAGATTTTTTTTTTTTTTACAAAAAAATGTTTTTTTTAAGAAAAAGGTTTTTTTTACTTTTTTTAAAAAGAAAATGTTTTTAGTAAGAAAAAAAAAATCTTCTAAATTAATTTTAAACAAGTTTTTGAAAATAAAATAAGGATTTTGATATTTTAAAATTTGTTTTAAAATAAAAGGTTTTCTTTTTCTAATAAAGAAGAGTTTTTTAAATGAAATAAATATAAACTTTATTTTATTTTAATAAAATATTTTACTTTAAAATTTTGGTTAAAATACGTTGAAAAAAATAGGAGTTTTATAAAATAAATCTTGTTGAAAAAAATTTGGATTCTTTTAAATTTGGATTCAAAGTTTAAATTTGGATTCTTTTTATTTAAAATGTAGTTTTTGTTTAAAATTATTTTTTTTACAAGGTTTATTTTTTTTGTGTTACCTTTGTTTTATTTTTTAATTAAAAAAACAGTTTTTTTAGCAAATAAGTTTTGTTAAAGGAATTTTGACTTTGTTTTTAAATAAAAGTTTTTTTTTCTTTTAAATAATCTTGTTAATTTCGAAATAAATAAATATATATATATATATATTTTTGTTTTAATTTAACAAAATTCGTAGTTTTTTTAGTTGAAAAAAATAAATTAAAACTTTTGTTTGTTTAAAAGAATATATTGTTTACATCTTAAGATGTTGGAATAGTGGTAAGATGTTTGTTTTTTAATGTACATAACCCAAATTCGAGTCTACTAAATAATTATTTTAAATAAAAGATTTCATTTAGAGTTTTTTTTTCTTTTTTTTTAAAACAAAATTCAAAAATACAAAATATGTATTTTAAAAAAGAGCATAGCTTATATGTCAAAGTTGTGGCACATTGGTGTGATGTTTTAGTGTCAACACTCATGTCGCAAGTTCAAGTCTTAATGTTTATTAAAATTATTTTATTATTATTATTATTTTTTTACTAAATAATTATTTCAAAAACTCCAATGACGGGAATTGGAACCTTCCAATATTCCCGAGCTGCTTAATTTTTATTATGGCTTTCGTGCCACTCATACCTATTAATTCAAATCTGGTGTGAATTAATATAACATGAGATATTTCAATCAAAACACAAAAATATTTCTTTCCTTAGACCAAATAAAATAATAGGATTATTTATGATAAAATGTGGTACCGTTTTTGAACGGGTGTTGTAGGGTGCTAACATTTCCCCTATGCTCAGTCGACTCCCGAACCTAAAATCTGTTTTCGCAGACCAAGTTTTTAAAATAGGTGACCAATCAAACATCGTAGATGATTGGTGGCGACTCCAAACCCTTATCTCGAAAGAGACCCTTCGGGGAATGACGTCGGCCGCTCCACGTCGCGATGACGTTGCGACAGCTTGGCGACTCCACTGGGGATCTTTGAGAGTCAAGCCATTTAGTTTGTCATTTATTACCCTATTGTAATATGTTTTTGGGTCCATTTTTTGTTTGTTTTTTTTTCTTCATTTAATTGTATTATTATTTTATTTTGCATCACCATGCATCTCACACATATTCACAAGCCTCCTACCCGGGCTTTACCTTTTAGGATTAGATCGGAGACTGAGTAGTGTGACCTTCGTGGAATTTCGGTTCCCGTGCAGGCGCATGAAATTCTCCACTCAAGTTGACCATACTGCCAAAGCATATGAAAGATTTGTGAGCCATTATCCTATAGGATGCATTAGTACATAACTTCACACCATATTCATATTGCATTTTATGTGGGTTGTTACGTCGTTCATGGCATATTGTTTTTAATAAAAAATTAAGGTTGATTTGGAGTTTTAACCATTAGGTTTTAAATGAACCACTTAAAAAAAAGAATAAAAAATGATTTACCTTATTTCTTCCTAACTATTTGTTTAAGTTTTGGATAGAAGTGTTGCCTTTCAAAGGGGTTATAAATGTCCCTGTTGTAGGTACATAAACACTTTCAAACTTATTTACTCACTTGGGAGTTCGGCTTTATAACCCTAGAGTTTAATTTTATGTATATATTTATGTTTCTCTCTCTTAGGATGAATCGTTCTCTTGAAATATTAAACAGAACTAGGAAAACACTTTCTAATATCATATAAAACATTTTCCTTCAACCAATAAATAGGTTCAGAAAACTCAACACCACAC